AGGCTATGACAAGACCACATTTGCCACGTATAGGTGTTGAGACTAATGTTCGTGAGTATGCAGCAAAAGATAGCAGCGGCTCGAGCGAGGGAGAATGTCCTACTCCACCTCGATATTGTGCTTCATTGTTAATTCTGTCAAACTGATTCAAATACAACCAAACAGTAGCACTATACTCTCGAGATTGTAAACTCCGCCATAACGTCAGTTCGCCACCAATGACTGAATTTCTTTTATAGTTCATTTGTTAAGACGTTAGTCAACATTAAAACGGGTGCAAGTGGATAAATCACGAAAAGTTCCAGATCACTTTTTGCACCTTAGTGTACCCCCAAGAAAAGTAATTAATGTTTATTGATCAACAGGCACAGTCGATCAGGTGACTGCCAGAAGGACAGCGCAGCCCAGTCCTTTTTACCATAGTGGTGAAATGAGTGACACACAGTGAATGTGTTCGATGGTAATCGGCAAAGGAGTATTGCACCATGAGAATAACTCCTCCTTTAGGTATGAATAGTCACCAAGAAAAGCAAACACTGCCAGACATGAAACAGTTCATTGATTCAGTACGTAGTGTGGTTTAAAAAGTCCATTGTGTCCTAGAAACATTTCACTCAGCATCTATTTTTTAAGGAGAACAGCGTTTTCAGCCATCTGCAGTGATGATTAGCCACAGATCCAAATACGAATAGCTTTGCGATTGTCACCTGCAAGTCTACAACTCATTTGTTTTTGGATACAGGCCATGTATTGGCATGGTGGGAATAAGCACATCACTCTCCTCCATAGGGGTGGACAAAAAAAAACACTTCCTTCAAATGCATACTTTGCAGACCTTTCAAACTCATATTTCACAGGCCAGAAGGCCAGCCATGGTGATACAACCCTGCGCATGGAGGTGACGTGCTGCGACTGAAGTCACATCAGCGCAACAATGACAGCATCAGCGAGCGGAAAGCTGATGTCACACGCGGTGGTAGTGGCGCACGCGAGGACGAAGGCAGGAAAAGACACACAGGCACGCACTGTGGAATGCACGCACAGTTCTTCGATAAGAAAGGCACCAACGGACATGCGTGTACTACATCTCGCACATACACACGCGTCATCACCGTTGTCATCGTGGCTGCTCCTTCGGCAGAGTAGACATAACAGCCCACAAGCTGCGCTCCAAGTTTTACCCCCTTAAGACATCTGCTTCTGCACCTCTTTCTTGTGATGACAAACGAGCCTCATATTGTGTGTGTCTGTGTTTCGCATCTGAAGTGCTTGTATCGTTTTCTTGTGTGACAAAGTAGACAAGCACTGATCTTGATTTTTTCCATACCCAGCTTTTAAGCATGCCTCTGTGCCTGTCATTCTGTGCCAAGCAATGGCCCAGCCGATTCTCAGATGGGGAAGCTTTAAACCTAGAAAGCACACCAACATGTCAGCAGAAACTTTCAAAACACAAGTACACCTTCTCAATGCCAGGTTATTTCTTCCGAAAAGTTTTAGCCCAAATGGGTTCGATGGCCAGACAGATGGCATGCCAACTGTTCCTACAGTGTTTATGACACACTTGCTCAAAAAGTTATCACTTGAGTCCCTTTAAAAATCTTACTGCCTCCCTTCACAGTTTGTGAGTAATATCCCGACATCAGAGAGTCGCCTGGAACCCCTGTCACACGAGACCCCAACAGGATAAGGGCAAAACAGCAACGCAAGATAAAAGTGTGCAATGCCATCTGCAAACACTCAGGCAAAGTGATGCAACCAGCACTGCTACAGCAGGGAGACATCCATGCACTGCCAAAACAACCAAAATGTTGGAGATGTACTGATTCAAAAACAAACACTTCTAACACTTCATCACAGCTTATACTGCAGGCTGCTCTTTACAGTTCTTTTTTTCTGTTTGCCGTATTGTGTGACAGGAGTTGGGACATTGGCAAGCATGAACAACTGGCATGAGTGCAACAGCTGGGAGTGGTTCTGTCAGTGTGTGTTGCTTCTCTGCTTGTAGAGTGATGGTACTATAGACATTAAAGGCCCCATACGGAAACAGGCAGGAGGAAAGAGAAAAGAGGTGCAATGAGTTTAGGTGCCCTAGTGATACACCATGGCTCTGCTGCTTAGAAAGCCATGCCAGCCAGCCCCATGGCCATAGATACCAAGCAGCCACAAGGCCTGCACGACACAACCTCCAAACAATGCCGCACACAAGATCAACAGCAAAAGGTGGTCTGATATCAACGGCGACAAGAGCAGCTGATCCACTGTCCCCAATTAAGAGTCATGGCAAGGCAAATATGAGACTGGCTTCAGATCAGCTCAGCCGGAAGGAACAGCTGTGCTTGCTCAATGGTCGGGTTACACGCCCCACCCTTTAATCCTTCACCCGCGCGCCGTCAGTTGTTCTACACTAGACGAAACACTCCCAGTTCCTGCCCCCAGGCAATATCTTTTGTCGCTATAGGTCAATGGTAGAGATAAAGATATATATCTATATATTATATGTATGTACATCTAACACAGTGCTCACTTTTTAATTCATTAAACAAAATAATTAACCAACAACAGTGACCTGCCCCTCCTACCCTCATTCGACGGTCAACAAGCTCCGTGCAAGTGCATCTTTCATACTCACTGAAATAGTGAAAAAAATCGCAACAGCCGCCACCTGTACTGATACAAAAATAATAGCCAACAAAAACAGGAATAATACAGTCTGAGGGCAGAGGTGCTGCTCCCTCTCACGCATGCACACCACACGCAGACAGGCCTTGCACACGGGGGAGCTCACAAGTGCATGCGAACGCAACAGCTATCAAACAGCTTAGGGTGGCAATTGACCGTATCAGGCTAAGGGTAAAAATTGCTTAGAGCACCGCTCATCTCCGGTGCATTGGATGACATAGACACGAGTGGCACGCAAATACCGTAAAGGACAGGCTGCCTTCTAATGCTTTTTTCTCTGCTTACGTCCCCAAATTTTCTTACCCTACCAGTCTCTTCTGGCTACACTAATGCCAAATGGGTTACAGCACAGTCCAATCCATACAGAGCAGATGTGTTCCTTTGAAAACATAATGTGACTCCTCCATAACCGCTCTCAATGAAACAGCCAGAGACTTAATCAAAAGCAAAATTAACTCATCAGGCAGCTACCAAATGATAGCTAAACCTCTAACTTGGATAATAATCTCCTACTCAACTCTTTAACTAACCACTGCATGTCATTAGCAATGACAACTGCCTGTTATGATGGGCCCCAGAAATTTCGTGCATGAGCATCTTTCTTCTACAACACCTAAATCATGCACTCTTGTGCACCGCACAGCACTAATGATTTTTTTTATAATTTTCTTTTTCTCAGTAAGCTTTACGTAAGTGCACCAATTGGCTTCACAAGTAGCAAGTTTCCTATTCAGGTAATTAGAAATCGCTTGGATAGAAGCACTTAGTTTAGCTCTGCAATTGCAATGAATCAGCAAGGTCTCCTGGAGTGCATTTACTCATAAAGCGACCGTTAAGTGCCACAAGCAAAGCACAAATAATGCCGATGCCAAATGGTGCATGCTAGCCGCTCCTGTTTCAACCCTATCCTTGCATAACCAGCTGCTTTCCTGTTTTCCGATGCAACACCGAGCTCACTCTGCAGCATCTGCCACCCAACACTGCTGACACAACAGCCCAAAATACAAGCACACATTTCAGAGATAGGCAAACTCATGTCTCTACATACTTGACAGCCAAACCAGCAGCAGACAACCAAACAAGCAAACCCACAGACGGTGTCAAATGACCGCCCGTTTTGCCAAGAGAGAAAGCGGCCCCAGCTTACAGGGCAATGAGAAGTGTGCAATTTCGTCGAGATGGGCAATAAATAGGACCAAAAGCAAAAATAACAAAACAAAAAAGATGCCAGCAAAACGAAGCCACTATTTACACAAATGCATGCGTGCCCATAACCACACGCATGTGCACAAACTACACAAATCACAATTTTTCAAAATCAAGTGAAGGGTAATCAAGCAAAAAACAAAGGCCGAGAAAACATCCTGCCTTTCATAGTAGTGTTCACAGTTTCGGAATGGGTCCTCACACAGCATGGCGGACGTAGCGACTTCTGCCACGAAAAGAGCCACCGCAGATGCCAGAATGTGAATCTGAAGCAGTACCGCGGATCACAGGTGAGCTAAAATGAAACGCAGCTGCCCCCCCCCCCCCCCCCCCCCGCCGCTGTGTCAACTTCCGAACGAACTAAATCATGGCTGCCAACAGAAGCAGCACTCCCACGAACTTGCCACCCTCTACAGTCTCTCAAAATTCTCACAAATAAAGCCAGGTGGTGGGCCAATATCGCTGATTGTTATGGAAGTGAAAGCGAGAATAATGGACAACACTTCAAACTATGCAGGAGTTGAGAAATTTTCGTAAACGTGGGGTCGCAAAAATGTTAACACTCATGAAACAAAACCAGTGCAGTGAACATGTTTCGCAGCCAAGAGGATATGCTATGGCTTTCGAAGCTACCAACTTTGCTCTGCTACACACGTGAACAACTCGGATGTTGCCAGTACATGTCTCCTAGTCGGCTTTATTTTCAATGTCTAGGTTTTATGCTTACCTAACGAGGAGCTGAACCGAAAGGAGGAAGCCACCGAAAAAAAAAGATACAGTAACTCTGCGAGCTGGAAGGCAAGCTTGCATGCAGACTCTCGCGACAGCCATTTCTTTTCCTCATCACATTTTGCTTGAAAAAGAAGCAGAAGGGCTGCTTTTACACCGAATATCATTTCCACCTAAGCTTACTGTCTAAAGTTAACTCATTTGCTTATTTTTTTTAAATCAATAACTACTCAAGGAGCCATAAGCAACAACATCGAAAACTGCAAAATTTACACAATTCGTAGCTATGAGTTGTTTATTTATTTATTTATTTATTTATTTATTTATTTATTTATTTATTTATTAGTATACCCTCAAGACCCAGAGGGTGTTACAGAGGGGGTGGGTACAATATGAATGTGGCAAAAAAAAAAAACATAATAACAACAGTGAAGGAAATAAGTAGCTCCTTTCATCATAAAGACAATTACTATCTTTGTCAAATTAAAAAGCAAAAACTGCCAGTCTCACTGAATGATTTTGTGCTGCTTTTAGATATACCTGGCTTTACTTTAACATATCAAATTACTTCAAAGGACTTTACTCATATGCAGATGAAACAAACATTAAACCTGGGGTTACACCATCAAATATGAGTACATATGCCAAGCTGAGAGGAAGCAGCGGCGCAGGCTGCAAGGTGTTAATGAAAAATGCTATGACCTAGCACAGCGAAAACTGGTTGGAAAGCATCAAATTTGCATGCTCTACAGAAGAATGGAGATCTTTAAAGCAAGAATAATGGCATGAACAAACTGTCTCTCCAGGTGTTGCCCGAAGAAGTATGTGTGGTTCACCCTAAAGTACTAAACCGCCACGCCCCTCTATCCTTTTGGGTGCAGCATCTCCCTGGGAACACTGCAATCTCAACAAAGGCCCTCGAAATGCACCCCCTCGAATGGATTTTATGTGCCAGCCACACTAATTTCAAGTTCAATGCTTGTGTCACAATGGCGTGGGAAACTCTTATTTCCTTTCTGAAAGCGTCACCAATACCGTCTTTCATAAAAGCGAGTTCATATGAGACTGCAGGGTTAAGATACAAGCAGAAAATTTCTTGAGCCTTCGTGCTTTATAAGCCACGAGTCCAGTAGAGCCATATCATTGCACATCATCATGGTGTTTTTTGAAAATCCCTGATGACGCTACCTTATCATTCGTTCCTGAACCTATAGTGAATAGCGGAAGCATAATAAAGTGCCAGGGTTGGCATGAGGGCTATCTCTCAGAAAATCTCTCCGATACTAGCAGTCTAAATTAGGGTACACAGTTCACAGCCCATTACACAATGCTTGAAAGATTAGTACTAAGCCTGTTATACTGTAGTGTTCTATCTGAAAGGGCCATTTAAAAAGCCACCCAAATTCTGGAATGAATTCAGCTAATGCTATTTCTGACGTCTAATGTGCCAATAATTTGTGCATTTGATAATAGACAGCCTGTTTTGTGACAATCACAACGTTCATGAACTATAGTGATATAGAGAGTTCCTAAATGTTTTCATCAAGTAGTTTGATTCTATCAGAATTTGCTAACCACTACCCCTGCTAAGCTACAAACTGTCAGTAGCTGATTATCTAAACTTAACAGTTCCTTAAATGTCATGATTAAAGATTTGCAAAATTGACAAGTTGCATAATTTACAACGCCGACACATCAACCGATGACAGCTGCAACATAGCCAGAAACAAAGGCTGAGTAGTGTTGCGAGTTGTGGACATCTTTAGCACCGACAATAACTTTTAAAATGCAAAAATTAAGCGGAATTTCCTGCGTGCATCATCAGGCTTAATGTGAGCCCCACTGATGAAGTGCCCATTTACTAGGGCCATTGATTCATACTCAGAGAATGCAACAATAGCAGCTTTAAGTGACCAACACTACCTGCACAACACATCCACAGCAAAAGCAGGACTTCATACTATAGACAATGCATGTGCGCTGCATTGCCTAGAAGGACCTTTAGAAGTCTGTAAATTGGAAGCTATCACCAACCAAGAACCAATCAAGAACCACATGTGGAGGAAGCAGAATAACCAAACAGCGTTTGTTTTTTGCAGCTTGACAAGTGACAAAAGCAGGCACATCCTCGACAATTACCACCTCAACACACGCACGAAAGCAGGCGGCAAAACAGCTGGGGCAAAGGCAAGAAAGCTGTCTTTACAAGCTGCAAGGCACCCACCACTACTATGTAATCACTGATCCGTTTGACCCTCCATGTCAGCGATGACCAACGCTCCATTGCACATGTATCATCGAATGCTCGGTGGGGAGTGAGGAAAATGGGGGAGGGTTACATGGAGGATGGAGAGGGAAGAAAGACTTGCCTAAATCAGCGACCTCGTATGCCTCTTAAAAATATAACATTATCCTATTTACATATTGTGTGTGTGTGTCACCTCGCACACAGGCAAGTTTAGTTGTATGACACCTAGTGGCTGTGTGTGTGCGTGCGTGAGCGTGGGCCGAGGCAATGACAGAAAATAAATAGGCCCCCCTCAAACTCTCTTCCCACTTTCTTTCCCCTCTTCTGAAGAATGACGCACATTGTCGCCACACCACACAACACACGTGACCAACCCCTCCCGCCTCCCCTCCTTTCAACTAAGCGAATTTCAGGAGCGTCACATGTCTCCTGCTTGGCATCCAGAAACCTGGCTGGCACCAATATTTTTGTCACCGGCAAGAACCTGCTCTCGCCGCCAGCCTCCTACCTGCAAGCTGACGTAAACAGTGACGAGACTTCTGTTAAAAATATACGACAGTCGTTCCTAACAGTGCCAAAAACCGCATGCACAACTCAGGGATGCTGTACCTGTGTTACGTAATACAGTCGGTAAAAGAAATCTCCAGTATAATCGCACAACTGAACATGTCAAGTTCGCGCTTCACAAAAATGCAGTATTGCAGAGCTTGTAGCTACAGTCCTTTCCTAATGGCACATTAGGAAATCGCACATTACACGCATGGAATTTGGCATCAAAAGATGGTGGTTACTGCTGCTACATCAAAAGTGGTAGATCACCCCTTGCATTTACCTTGAAGGTCTGCTTCAGAATCTTCTACCTTTTTTCGGGGACCTGAGCAGTGAACTCCGTACAAGCAAGTGTTGACGATTGGGCAAGTTGGTTAGTCATTCTTAAAATGACGCAGCATAACAAGGGACACAAAGAAACAACCAAACCTTTTAAAATTGAGAAACACAGCACTATGTTCCTTCTTCTGGCAAACTTGGGTGTTTCTTCCTTCCCTATGTTGCTCTGCACTGGTAGAATACACACAGTTGCAGCAACAAGGAAATGCTGACAGGGTGACACAACATACTTAGCCACAATCTGTGAAAATGATCTTCTCCTTTCTGCTTTATAATTTACAACAAAGAATATCATTTCCCTCATTAATGAAATATCCATGCCATACCATGAAATTTCTATGACTCTTCAGCAACAATCAAAACAACGTCCCACCATGGCCTGATGCCAACTAGCACGCTAGCCTAGTGCATGGTACGTACCCACAAGCTCCTGCAAATTGAATATCGTATGCAATTTCATATGCGGCCACTCGTATAATCACAGCATGATGGACATAACTTTTTCTTGATCAAAGACTCCAGCAAATCACTGCTTTGTCAGCACAGAGACATTCAGCCAGTTGTGAAGGTTGCCCGACTCACTCAGGCTTCAACACTGGCTTTTCCACAGAGGCCTTGCTTCTCACAACACACAGCTCTGTTGCAGCTTGTTGCAGGAAAAGGGAGGGAAGGGGAAGGCCTACACTGCCACCACTGTAGCCACCATTATTTTAGTACCAAGCAAAAGGGGGGCATAGCAGCAAAGCCACATTTAGGCCCAGCGTCACAGTGAAAACAACAAACAATTTGCTTAATGCTACTGCTGCTGCCAGAAGAGTTGTCAAGTCACCCCAAAGTGACATCATCACCTTCATGGCACCACCACCAGTAGCCCTGCACCATGGTGCCAACAAGCGCAGTGCTACATCAGTTGTGGACGTGCGACGAATGTGCCTCTCCGATGCCTCTCGGAGAAGCCGGCACTTTACACCGCAGCTGTGCTAGCCACTGCTATCACCACAGGCACTCAGCTAAATGTCAACAAAACAGCAACCACAATTGCCTACTGCGCAGGCACCACACTCCCGGCCGGCGTGGTAGTCATCGACAGTGGAGTTGTCGCAATGCCAGTGGTTACCACGGACCGCTGCATCACTGAAGGCGACAGGGACACATCCATTGGCGCAGCTGTGCAAGCTGGGGCGTCCACGGCTGCGGAATCCTCATCCGTGCTGCCGCCTGCTGCAACGGCTGAAGAGGTGGGCGTAGAGGAAGAGGCAGCAGGACTTCCATTAGCGCTTTCGGCGGGCGGACAGAGTCCAAGTGCAACGGCTAAGTCCTGTAGCACAGCAGCATCTTTGGGATCCACCAAGTTGAAGCGAGTGTTGAAGAGGGTGAAGTGGGCGAATATCGAATGCAGGTGTCCATGCAGCTGCAGCAAGACCATCTCTCGGAAGTGGGCGTGATACAGGTGCGCCAGGACATGCAGAAGAAGTCCATGAATCTTCTTCACCAGGGACTCGAAAGAACTGGGAAACTCGCGCTCTGAAGAGATGAAATTCAGATGCCCAAGTTAGAAACTAGCAATGAATTAGGGACACTCAGGCAGATACAATTGTACACTCCCAGCAGTTCGTTTCATGCTGCATGTGGAACACTGTCACCTCTGTATAAGTTTATAATATGTTTGCAGTGGTGATGGAAAGAAATGTGAACAGAGCAGCATCTGAACTCTTTGTTATTGCACATTTATTCTCAAGCAGTTGTAGTCTGGATGCTAATAAAAGCCACAAAAGCAATTAAGAGTACAATTAAGAATCATTTCAGATCGTTTTATTGCCACCAAGATCAAAGTGTGATAAAGCAACAGCGTGCAACACTTTTCATGTTTCTTTCTATCCTCCAGTATGTGTGTTGTGTATTGGTGTGAGTGTGTGTACCATTGATAGCCGACTTCACCAGACAACACTCGACGACCTGAGGTCGTCCTCAAATGGTACGGATGTCCTCCTTCCATCCTGATAAGACAAGTGATGCCTTCAGTGTGCCCCCAGAAAGGCCTTCTCAGAATGATACAGAAAGCATACTTTTCAGTATTTTTCTAGGATAACTCACCGTCCAAAAAATGTCCACTGTACGACGTTTTGAGTGTGTACTGTATAATTGAGAAAAAGTTGTGCATGAATTTTGTGTGGCATGTCGTCGTGAACGCGCGAACATTAAATGTATCTGACAACGCTGCTTGATCATACAATTGTTTGTTCGTGTTCCTTTATTTATACCTCACAGCTATAAATGAAAATGTTTTTGCGGCCGTGCGTGTCGTGTTTTCGAAGTTTTCTATTTTGCACATACATAAGCACGAATGATTACCCCTGTGGTCGGCAACGAACAAGCAACGATACGGCCCACAAGTTATTTGATGGTCGCAATCACGGGAATCTCATTACAGCGCACACCATTATTCTTCTTCTGCCTGGCAACACTGACTCTCTAAACAGCCCAAGTATAAGCAATCCAAGCCAAGCGCCTTAGCGGAAAATAGCATGGTTAGGCATGAAGGCAGGTAAGACTCCTCAAGTCTGTCTCTATTTCGCATTCGAAATGGAGGAAAACGTTGACTGCAAGTTATCCCGATAAAGAAATAGATGCCCTAATGCCTGTTTACACATAGCAAACAGTGCTGTCAGTCAAGTAAGCCAGCGCTGCGAAAGCAAATGATGTCGCCTTGTCGTGGTGTCCATTGCGAGGCATGATGTTTAAGTGAGCAAACAAGAATTGATTTCGAGTGTTTCTCCATAGTTGGAAGATCGCCGAAGTTTTTCTGAACTCGTTTGTGACACGTTGTGTGCGACACTATCATTTGCAGTTCTGAACTTGAATATGTTCAGCAAAGTCGCTGCGATGACAACAGGGTTTAGAGTGAATGACAATCTTATTATGTAGCTAATTGTGGGTGTGTGTGTGTGCGTGCACATTGGCAGATCAAGTTCTGTACAGTCGAAACCCGGAACAACGAAATCGCCGGGGAAACCAAAAAATTTTGTTTTCGCGAGAATTTCGTTGCCGCGAGTATGAGACATAAAAACAGTGATACGGCCAGCAGAATGAAAATTTATTGCCAGAAGTCGGTCAAGTTACTTTGCCGACCCTTGCCATGCAACAACTTCAAAGCTCTGCCTTCGCACTGGAAAAAGTGGCCCATTGCTACGTCGTCGTCATGTGTGCCGAAGAAGCAAAGGATGTCCAGCACATCCAAAACAACCCGCGGTAGCGCATCGTTCTTGGCCGCAGCCTCGCTGTCAGCGAAGTTAGGGCTAAGGCCGACTCCGATGACACGCCGCGCTCGTAGACTGCGCGCCCACTCGTAGTAATCTGATCGTGCATCCGGTGCTGCCACTCGTAGTAATCTGACCGTGCCGCCGCTTACAGCTTCATTGCTTGCGGCGAAGCACGTCGCCACGAGTGCACTAGCGCGTCGTTCCTGTCCGCAGTCTCGCTGTCGGCGGAGTGAGGACTAAACATGACTCTGATGACGTGCTGCGCTCGTAGTAACCTGATCGCGCATCCGCCTACTGCTCCTAACTAAAGCGTAATTATATCTTAAGTGATCATCCCGCCGTGAACACGTCACGATGTAGCAATTTTCGAGTGCCATGTCCTTGCGACGCAGAAGCAGCAGACGACGATCTCCCAGAGTGAGCATCAGGCCAATGGCGAAGCGAGCTGAGGCAACATGGCGGCCACAGCCAATCAAAGGCCTCGAAATGACCTTCAAACATTTGCTTTTTGTGTGCTTGTTTTTAAAGGGAGGAGTCAGCTGAGGCGGGAAAGTTAAACACAGAAAAATGCTCTTTCCAATGAGCCCAAAAAGCCGGCTCCTGGCCCCGCCATCGCGAAGCCATAATTTCTTGAAAATCGCTGTTTTCTCGCGATTTCCAGAAAAAGTTTTGCTACCTAGGTGGGTGAAATGAATTTTCCGAAGCACTTCTGCACCGTTTTCAGTGTAGATATTTTGAAATGAGATAGAAAAGGGGTTCCAGAAACTGAAAAGTTGATTTTCAAAAAATCGATTTTTTTTTTGTCATTTTTCGCGATCCCAAAGCCGCGTCCCCCCCTTAAGTAAACAAAAATGGCGGTACCCACGCTAGCGCGGCAAAATCAGACGTTTACAAATTTTGAGTGCGCATAACACGCATACGAGCATATTTTCGACAGCTAACTTTTGGCGGGAGGGTAAAATAAGGCCCACACCGTGGTAGAAAATTCATTAATGCGGGATTGCTGTCCAATAACATTTTGTTGGCACGAGATACGCAACACATGGGCTTCTATGAACGTTCGCCGGGGATCCGGAAATATTTCGTTGCCGCGGGGATTTTGTACTCGCGGGGTTTCGTTATAGCGGGTTTCGACTGTAGTTGCATATAAGCAGCTTTGAAAATTCCATTTGGGCTTTCCAGTCACTTGCAAAGAATGCAGCTGTTGTAATGATGGTTGCATGTACAATTGCTGAGAGGCACAGAAAGTTTCTTGTAAATCAGCAATTGAACATTTATTGTCATATTTTACAGAATTTAAGCAACGAGTTAGAATCCTGGAAAAGCACATGACGATGGTGGAGTAGCAAGGCCACTTGTTCTTTACAATACAGCGGCAAATATGAAGGTCTACGAAGCAAATATCTCCTCTGGTACCCTGCCCATCTCCAGAGAACTCCAATGAAAGGATCCATTCACAACAATCTCATTTTGTCAAGCTCCATGGATTCTTTGTTTCATATCAATGAACTCATATCAATAAACAAAAATTTGAATATTTATATATTTTCGTCTGGTATGGAGCTCTTAATAAGAAAGCTCAAGGTATGCACTTTGAAGCAGTAAGTGCATAAATTTAGTTTTAAAGCTGAATTTTTAAATTCATTTATGGAAATAATTCACATTGAAAAACCGCATTTCCAATAGGCGTAACATGCGTCTTAAAAGCCTTAAATTTATTGTAAAAAGAGCCTCTAATGCTGTCCTGAGGTTGACCTGAACCCACACTATAGAGATCCCTTAATGTGGACCTAAGGACAACATGGAAATGATGTGGGGCCAGACAAACAGACAGAATTAGTACCAGTCGAGGCTCATTTGAGAATGACCTCTAGTCGTCCTTTCGTACTGGGTAGGGCATTTTCAGGACAAATTCAGGTCGTCGTGTATTGTCTGGGTATACTCATTATATTACTAGTTAAGTCAAAATTCAACTACTCTTTATACAAGTAAGGTGTTGCAAGAAATGTCAGAAAGGTAGGGTGTGATGAAGAAAATAAAGTTGAAATAATTTAAAAAATCTATTTCGTTCAATAAGCCGATGACCAAACTTAAGGATTCATGCTGTACCAACATTGCACTTTTCAGAGCAGCCGTAGAGCATTTTGAAAGCCAAAGGAAACAAAGGTCCAACCCACAGTTGCAACCAGCATAAGCACAACTATCACACATGTTCTGCTGCTGTGGTCCACCATCATTACCCTCGACATTGCCCACAGTGGTGGTGCCGCCCTTTTATGCATACTCTGATACCCAACGTCAAAACACATTGCACACTTGTTACAACAGCAAATGAGCTTTGTTCTAAAAAGCACACCAAAGCAAGGTGACAAGCTTAGTTATGGTACCCTTGTTTCTAGTGCCAAATTTGTATTATACGACGTTACATATGCACATTACACATGCACATCAATGAACTTCAGCTCTTCATTTTGTGCATCATCCGAAAAATGTTGTTAGACAAAGTAAAAAAAAAACTGGGCCTACTACCCACTAGTGGAGCGAAGACTGAAGAAACCGTGAAGCCAGTGTCCTTGCCCTCCTCCTTTGTCACATCCTCACCATCAATGACCTTTCCTGATGTAGAAAACAGATTGAAGATGGAGCTCGGAGGCCAGGAAGAAGAAGTAGCCAGGGGCAGGCTTTTTTTCCTGTTCTGTCAACAATAAACTGAAGACGTATCAGTTCTGTGGTCTCTCTGGTCTTTCTGAAACATGGTGCCATGACCAGGAGCATCTGAAGACAGACGCACAGACTTCAACCCCATTCGCAACAACGGGTTGAAGAACGAAGCAGTGGCGTCTGGCTCAAGGACGAACCGTTGAGGGAAGGACCACCGACGACTTTTGGCGACGCACATAAACAGGCAAGAACTCTTTCAACACGTTTTAAGCATGAATAAAGAGGTCCTATTGTAGAAGCGGAAGACGCTTCGAGCAAATGTGACGATGCTTACGAGCGAAATCCATAAGATGATAGAAGAAGACGCTGATCGAGCGCAACTTATGACGCTTCTGAACCAGATGAAGAGCGTGTCACAGACGCTAAGACAAGTTAACGAACAGATTGAACCGTTCATTGAAGAAGACGACGCGGAGACAGAATTTGAAAAAGTTTTGCATTATGAGATGAAGACCGTCGCTGTAACGACAAAAACAGAGGAGCAATTACGCGAGTTAGAACAAGCGACGCAATTGACTACGAGAATAGTCACAGAACAGGCGA